AGTAAAAACTCATCTCCAGCTTTTCTTCCTGAGCTGTTTCAGTGGAGCATTTGTTATTTCTTATGGAAAAAGCCCTAAATAAATTCACTTCCAGATCTTTTCCAGCTGCCCACAATGCCACCAACCACTTGGCTTTGTTCGGCCCCCATGGGAATGGTTTCAGGTTCAAAGAGAAATCCAGGCCAAACAGGGACAGCTGAGCAAAGAGGCTTCTTCCCACTCCCAAAAACCCCAAATCTGTGTCTCCCACTATTATTCCCACTTTCCTGTTCTAGGAACAACACGTCTTCTCCCTCCTCTGCCAGTGTCTTCTGCTCCAGAATATGAGTAAAAGAAGTTGTTTTCTTGCTTCAAGCAGAACTCCTGAACACTTTGCACTCAGAGAGAAGTGTGGGCACTAAACCTGCCCCAAAAGGACCCAGACAGGGAGTTCAGCACTTGATGTGTTTTGGAAGACACCCCACATGTCCAAAGAGCTTGGAATGACACTCCCAGTGGTGACACCTACCTCGTGTCTCCATCCCCAGCCCTTGGGGACAGTTGGCCTTTCTGTTTCAGTGCCAAATGGAGCAAAGCCCTGAAAGAGCAGCAGGAACAAGGTTTAGTTCCCTTCCTCCTTTGTTTTTTAGGGATAATTTGTTATTCCCAAGTGAGAAGCTCCATTGGCCTTCTTGTCCCCCTGGGCACACTCTGGCTCCTGTTCAGCTCCCTGTCCATCCCCACTCCCAGCTCCCTTCCTGCCTGGCTGCTCTCCAGCCCCTCTGGCCCAGCCTGGAGCTATCGGGGGTTGTTGTGGCCAAAGTGCAGGACCCGGCCCTTGGCCTGGTGGAACCTCATCCCGTTGGAATCAGCCCATGGATCCAGCCTGTCCAGGTCCCTCTGCAGAGCCCTCCTGCCTTCCAGCTGATCAACACTCCCCCCCAGCTTAGTGTCATCTTGCCAACCTTCTGCTCAAGCTGTTCACCTAAAGCCAGTTGCTCAGGACCGTGCCCAGACAGCTTTTCTATATCTTTGTGGATAGAGATTCAACCTCTCTGTGGAACCTGTTCCAGTTTGACCAAAACAGTCAAAAAGTGTTTCCTTACACTCACAATCCCTCAGCTCAGAGGCTGAGAACACCAAAGCTTTAACCCAACCTCTTATTTTTAAGGAGACACCACCCCGAGAGCAGCCCCCGGGCCCAGCTCTGCCTGCTGGGGCATTGCTTGGATCTCCTACAAGATAATCAAAGAGCAACAGGATCCCAGTGATGCCTTTGATCCAGGCTTTAATTATGATCCAGGCCTTAATTACCCACATGGTTGAGTAATCTCTGCCCACATAGGCCAAGCTCGATGTTGTGCTTACGCTGCACGTCCTAAACTCCTGCTGGGTTGGGCCTTGCTGAGCTTAAGCTGTTGGTGGAAAAAGGCTGGATGTGCCCTATCCATGTGCTCTGGCAGCCTGGAAAGCCAGTGGTGTCCTGGGATGATCCCACAGCTGGAGAAGGGGGGATTCTGTCCCTCTTTCCCCTCAGGTGAGACCCCCCTGCAGAGCTGCTCCAGCACGGGAAGGACATGGAGCTGCTGGAGAGAGTCCAGAGGATTCATCCAGTCCCAGAGGATCAGAGGGATAGAGCAGCTCTGCTGGGAGGAAAGGCTGGGAGAGCTGGGATTGTTCAGCCTGGAGAGGAGAAGCTTTGGGGGAAACTGATTGTGGCCTTCCAGGACCTGGAGGAGCCACAGGAAAGATGGAGAGAGACTGTTTACAAGGGATAGAGGGACAGGACACAGGGAATGGCTTCACAGTGAGAGAGGGCAGGGATAGATGGGATATTGGGAAGGAACTCCTGGCTGGGAGGGTGTTGATGCCCTGGCACAGGTTGCCCAGAGAAGCTGGGGCTGCCCCTGGATCCCTGGAAGTGTCCAAGGCCAGGTTGGAGCAACCTGGGCTAGTGGAAGGTGTCCCTGCCCATGGCAGGGGGTGGCACTGGATCCTCTTTAAGGTCCCTTCCAACCCAAACCATTCCATGGTTCTATTTTTCCTTCAAACACGGATATCACACCCCTGCTGTGTGCTCTGACACACTTTGCTGCCCTCAGTTCTTCCTATTTGTCTAAATAAAGTGTTATTATGGGCAGCAGCTCCTTGATCTGCCACAGCTCAGTGAGATTCACTCCCACTAAACCCCCTGGGTCATATAATAACCATATAATAGCCATAATAAAGGTTTTCCAGGTCCATATCACCTCAATTATTGCAAATAACTCTTAATTTAACACCATTCTGAAGCACTTCCCCCCCAAAAAACACGTTGTGATTAAAGCACATCCCCTCTAAACACCATCCCAACGTTCTCCTGCCCAAGCTCTCCGTGCTCATCCTCATAGGAAGGACTCAACTTGCTCGACTTACCGGTAGAATTGCCAAATTTTCTTGGCATAATACTTGACTTCCTCCTGTGCCATGGTCAGCAGGTGCCTGTTGGCCCCGATCCCGGAATATGTTGCCTGGAAAGCGACTGTCAGGGCCTTCAGCAGCTTGCCCAGAGGGTGCAGGGAGGACTTCAACGCCTGCAGGAGGCAGGAAAATTCAATTCCACTTGGAGGAAAACACCCCAAAAGGCTCCCCCAGCCTCCTCCTGGCAGCAAAGGAGGACAAGCCCAGAGGTGACACCTGTCATCGTTTCCAGCAGCTGGAGAACCAAGAGGGAAGTTTTCTCCACAGCTCTGCACAAAATGAGTGGCCAAAGAGCACGAGGGACAAGCCTGTTCTTCCCACAATTTAGGGAAGTTCTTGAAGCCTCTGGCCAGGTTTTGTGTGCTGTTAAATTAACAGCAATTTGCCCGCCCCTGTGTCCATGTCTGGTGGCCAAACCTGGATGATTTTAAGCTTTACCTTCTCTAAATAACTCTGTACTGACTCCAGCTCCTGGTGCTGGACAAGCTCTTCAAAGATATCTTCAATCTTCCAGGATACGTCCTCAGTCCCCCTGAAAGGATGAGAGGTGAGGGAGGAAAAAAGAGGTGAGCTTCCCACAAGGAAGCTCTGGGATAAATCCAGGTGGGTATCACAGGTAGATTCCAAAGGGGGCAATAAAACAATTAGAAGAAATGAATTTTTCACTTGTAAGAATCAACCTCAACAGCACAACTTTAAATTGAGGGGTAAAATCCCTCCTCCTGCTTCATGAGAAGGAACAACTGGAAAATGCTCAAGTTCATGACTTTAAAACATGATTTCAATCAGACCCTGATTTAAATGGATTCCTCTGTGGCAACGAGGTTCTGGAATATTCCTACCTTTGGCAAAAGAGATATTCCTGAGATTTCCTCAGCTCCTTGCTGGTTTGGATGTGGAACCCTGTGAAAGACTCTTCCATTTCTTCCTTGCAGCCAGACTGGAGGAATTCCAGGAACTGGTCATAGATTCCCTTCCATCTCTTCTCCACTGGGAACTCCCTGAGGCCCAGCTGACTGGAAAATGGAACGTGGCATTAGGATTTCCTGGGTCCCCCTCTAATCACTTCAGACTTCACCTTCAAATATGGAAGGTTCTCCAGGGTTGGGATTAACTGAGGGATGTGGCTCCTCTGCCCTGGAGCCAGGCTGGGAGAGCTGGGGGGGTTCACCTGGAGAAGAGAAGGCTCCAGGGAGAGCTGAGAGCCCCTTGCAGGGCCTGAAGGGGCTCCAGGAGAGCTGGAGAGGGACTGGGGACAAGGGATGGAGGGACAGGACACAGGGAATGGCTTCAAGCTGTAAAAGGATAAATTTAGGTGGGATACTGGGAAGGAATTCCTGGTTGTGAGGGTGTTGATGCCCTGGCACAGGTTCCCCAGAGAAGCTGGGGCTGCCCCTGGATCCCTGGAAGTGTCCAAGGCCAGGTTGGAACAACCTGGGCTAGTGGAAGGTGTCCCTGCCCATGGCAGAGGGTGGGACTGGGTGACCTTAATGTCCCTTCCCACCCAAACCATTCCATGATGATTCCCTGATGTTCTGTAGGAGCAGAGGAACATGGAAGTGCCCAACCTGGAATTCAATAAAAGCAACTCAAGTCTCTTGTCCTGACAATGAGGTGCTCTGGACAAAGAAAAATTCCTGGTGTGTGGAACACAAATAACCTGAATCTTTGCTGGTCACAGACTTTCTTGGCCCCTGGTGGATGTCCCTAAACCCAGACCATTTATCTCACCCCAAAGCCCTCAGAAGAGGCTGAGCAAGAAGAGTTGAGCAACCACCACCAGCAGCTATTTCTGCCTGGAAAGAACAGGAGCTGTTTCTGCAACGGGAATGAGGGACTGGAAATGTTTTGCAGAGGAAAGAGGAGGGAACTGAACTGGGGTTTGTGAGAGGAAATGGAATTTGTGAGGACAGGCAGCTGGGGTTTTTTCCCCACTGGGACTCCCTCCTGTGAGTTAAACGGGCTGAATCCAGGTCCTCCAGCTTGGCAGCCCTTGGCAGGGTTCAGCCCTGAAATGAGGGATGTGACCTGATGGCTCCAGCTCAGTCATTCCCACCCTGTATTCCCACTATTTCCTGCCAAAACAGCAGCTCTGATCCTCCACGTGGAGGGCAGTGGCAGGGTGGGAGGAGAACATCTC